TCATCAGTCAGCCTGAAGTTACCACGCAGCTTTGTGCAGCGAGACCAGCAGGGCTCCGGGGGATGCCTGTCAGACCCCAGCTCGTTGTGACTACCAGCAAGGGGAAGATTTTACTAACCAGGCTGCGGCCATGTCAAGTCTCCTATTTTCAGGTGAAATCAAGCCAGACAGCTGCTAGAAAGTCACTTCCAAAGGCATTTTTTTGCTCCGACAAGGCTGTGGTGTGTGGGCCTGGGCAGGCACTGCTTAATGGGCCTGCACAGCCCCACACAGGGCTCCCATGTCTAGCCCCACTGAGACAGCCTCCTGCAAACAGCAGGCAGTGATACCACCCTATCCCATCACTGACACAGTGAATAAGCCTGGGTCTGGCTTATTTCAGCTACTCTATCCTAGGAGAGAGGCATTTTTGCAGGCAAAAGTTTAGGGAGCAGTGGGACACCAACATGTAGCCCTATATACTTAACCACTATGACTGGGGCCTGCAGCCAGAGAGCTTATGAAATATATTTCTTATGTATTACTTATAAAGAGTAAGTCTTCGTCTTCCAGTATTTCTCCTCATGCTATTCATTTTCAGTTGCTTTCCTTCCTACCCCTTTCCATCCATACCAATAGGCAACTTTGCTGTGGGGACACATCACCCAACAGAGAAAAGACTTTGAAATGTCAGTAAATAGAGACCCTAAGTGGCTCAAGGTGAGTCAGCTCATTGACTTTCCCTTTACAATTTCAATGTAGCTTTGTGAGTGCTTTTGTCTGTGCTGTATTTTGTTTTCCTCATCAGAAAAGGGAAATGGGGGGGTTTATAGCATCTTCTCATCACACAGCAGGTCTCAGGACACCTCAGCTAAAACACAGAGAGCATCACTAGGTGCTGTATGCAAAGATCTCTGGCAGTTTAATAGAGGAACAAGACAGATCCAAGTTCTCTGCCTTGTACTTGCTGCCACAGACATCACTGCATCAGCATACAGGCAGCAAAGCACTGGTGAAAGGCTTGTCACTTTTCAGCAGGGCTGAAGAGAAGGGAGAGAAAACTAGATTTCTCACTCTGCAGAGCTCTCCTTGAGATGATGGTGATCCTCTCAGTCTCCTTAGAAAGGGTCAGTGCATCTCAGAGGCTCCCACCTTAACGAAAGCTGCACTCGGCAAATTATTACGAGCTGTGACCTTGCTTGGCTAGCTGGTGGCAAAAGTCGTATTTTCTGAATACTCTTATCTTGAAAAACATGAGGTCTTAGAAGCTTGCAAAGAGATTAGCTAAAGCAGAACCTTAAATCCTGAAGCCTTGGAAAAAGGCTCACCGAAGCATTTGGATCAGCAGTGTCTGGGGAGCTGCAGAGGGCCGATGAAGGTGAAAGCAGCAGCATGTAGGGGGCTGGAGGGGACAGGAGGGAGGAGCAGCAAGCATAGGTCACTAATTTCTAGTATAAGTAGGGGGAAAAAAAAATCATTAAGGAGATTTCTATTTCTCTCTGACTTTTCCCCAGCAGGCACCCTGCATTTCTGCAAGACTGAAGCAAAGGGCTGAGACTGTCCTGCTCTGAGCACTTCCATACTGCTGCTGCTGGCTACTTATCCTCACAGAATTCAGAGGAACAAATAAAAATCCTAGTTTTGTGAATGTCAAGGGTGGTTTTTCAACCTAATTCCCTGAAGCAAGGATTTTGTTGAATTAATACACCACAAAGAATTTAGAATATTAGATAAAACCACAGCAATATTTTCCCTTAATTCTCCCTTTCTTCACCTGAAGTTTTGGGGGCAATTCTGCAAGCTGTTTGAATGGTGTGGGCACCATCCCAGGTGTACAAGTACAGAGCCCTAACATCTCATTTCTCAGAGAGCTTTCAGGTGGAGAGCTGTGGGATAGTTACCTGGGGAAGAGCACTGTCACAATTTCTCAGGGCAGGACACAAAACCAGGAGACATGGTAGAAAAACAGCTGAAGTGCTTGGCTGAGGAGTCAGAGCTGGGAGGCTGAGCCTTGCAGTCAACTTTTATCAGAGACTAATGAAGGCCAGCTGTGCCAGGGAATGAGCTATCTGAGCCGGAGGGCAGGCGTCCCAGGACACAGTGCTGACTATGTCATTCCCTTGCATGGTACTGGGCACAGAAACAAATGTGTTGCACCCATGGGCAGCTAAATGGCATCAGGAAGACCTTACGTTATGCAGAAAGACAGAACAAAGTATTTGTGGTGATCCTCTGAGTGCAAAAGCCGAGATTTCACAGAGGGGCTGGTTGTGCCCCTCATCCTCCTCTCCTGGCAGCTCCCCAGCTGCTACTACTGCTGTCCTACAGGGGAGGATCTGGCACACAGAGAAATGTTACATCCAGTAGAAACAGGTCATCTAACAAAACCTGGGTTGTCCAAATCTACAAAGTCTACACCCTGTTCTTTTTCTTTTCTGTCCCAGAATCTCCAAGTACTTAGCCTCTGTTTTGAACATCCCAAAAGATGTGAATCTAGAATTGCAGATCTGTATTGGCAGGGCTACCATGAGAACATCTGCTTTGACTAGAAATCCACTTATTGAAAGTAAGAAATTCAGATGATTGAGACAGTTGTTCAGATTTTGAGGAATTTATCCTGACTGTCTTCACAGGTTCATCTCTTTCCAAGTCAAACACAAAAATTCTGCCTCCTGGGAAGAGTATGGACATTTAAATCACTTCTGACTTTGTGAACAAGATATCCCGAATTTCAAGTGTATGCAGCTACAACTGAAAAAAAAATCAACACTGTAGATACCCACTGGATCTAACACTAACAGTCCCACTGAGTATCTGAGCAGAGAGACCAAGAGATGGACTCTCCAATGACCAGGACCATGTTATTCAGCTGGAGGAAGTGCCTTCAAGGCAGAGGTGAAGCCCAGCAGACACAGAGCTTTGAAACTTATGCCACAGACAGACAGAATAGATGATTCTGGGGCTAGCAAGGCAACACCTTTTTGTCAATAAAAAAGCCATTTGATCCTTTTTGACAAGGAAAAAAAAAAAAAAAAAAAGGGAGGAAAATGAAAATTGGATTGCATCTATTTTTAGGCAAATGAAAAAGTTATTCAGACTAGAGGGAAAGTGTGTCAAAAATAGCCTAAGTAATATGAAAGTGGAGCAATTGCTGTAGATCTACAAAAATAAAAGGAGGGCAAGAGCCCGGGAAACTGATTTTGAAGTAGCTGTGAACATTTCATTTTTACAGCACTATCTGATGTGTGTCTGCTTTAAAACACACTCTGATGGCAACGGCAGCCTATTTCTGCACTCCAAATGCATGGAGTCCTTCAAAGGCAGCCGAACAATGTGGTGTGGACCTGATCATCCCACAAGCCTGGTTCCGTGCTTCACAGCCCAAACGTTCAGCAAAAGCCTATCCATCGTCACCCACTGTGACATGAATCTTGCATCTTCCACTAAAAGCAATCAGATTTATTCAGGTTTGTCACATCTCCCTCTGAAAATGACTGTCCCTGAAGAATGGCTCAGTGGGGAGTGAATTTCAGAGGCTGTCTTGCTCTGGATTCTACCTGGATTGCTTAGGTTTCATCATCAGGGCATCAAGTTGCAAACAAATGCTAAACTCCTGAAAATGCAAGACCAGAAATTAAGAGGTTTTGGAAATATGACAGGCTTCAAAACTGCTGCCTGCAGAGTTTCTGCCCATGTGTTGTGGAAGTTGAAAGTGACATCTGTGGGGGACTCATGTTGTTGTGTCACCCAGAAGAGAGGTATAACTGCTTGGTAGTGTTTGTGTTTTGCCCAAAACAAACTCTGAAATACCCCAGCCATACAGTTAAATGGGACCGGCTGCTTGGGGTGAGAGCTGCCTGCACCAAGGAGGGACGTCACCTCCTCACGGGCATGGATGGAGCTGGGTCATGATGGAGCCACACGCAAGGAGGAGGCCTGGTGAGGCCATGTGTCTGCACATCACTTTGGCACGGGGGAGACCCGTGCCCGCTGTCAGACTCTTCTTTGCCAGCTCCTCCGAATACCTTCCCCAGCAGATCAGCGTCACCCCGCTGGTGGGGCTGGCCGGCAGCCAGCTGGCCTGCCTCCCCGTCCCTGTCGCTGCCAGTCATGGGGCGGTGGTGACACCCTGCTCAGAGGAGGGGAAGAGGTGAAAGGCTGTGCCACCAGATCAGGAGCAGGGAAGCAGTCATGCTTTCCCATCTCACTTGCTGGGAAACGCAGCAAAGCTGCATGGAAAAACCCTCAGGGACAACAGGCAGGTCCCCAGAGGCTGGAAGGTGATGGTGACATCTGCCCATCACCTTGAGGAAGTCCTTTCCTCCTGCCCCAAGGCACCAGCCTGGGTCTTGCCCTTCATCCCCCTTAGTGTGATCACGCTTCATCCACTCGCCAGCAACGTCTGGAACTTGGCAGCTGCTGCGGGCATGGGAGGTGGCGAGGCGAGCTTCCCTCTGCTTTGGGGTTACAGCTGTGAGAGGCAGGTCCCAGGGCTGGCAGATCTCTTGGTACCTCACAAGTGGAGGAAGCACTTCGGAAAAGAGCTTGAATTCCAGCAAGCAGCTTGGGTGCATGCCCCAGGCAGCAGGAGGAAGGAGTCCCACTTAGTGCTCACCTCCTTTGCCACCAGGGAAACGTGGCTTTTCCCCTAGCAGGTGCCGATGAACCTTCTGAAATGGTTTAATCCGAGCTCTGCTATCCGCATCCTAATCACTGCGATGCCCAAGTAGGTTACAAAGAGAGACACCCTTGTTGCAAAACGCAGTCGGTGTCTTCTATTTTTGCTAAGCCCTGGTAGGATGGATCGTGCCCCGGCTCTCTGTATAAATGAAGTCCGTCCCTTCCCAAAACCTGCCTCTGTCCTCCCAGCATCGGCATCCTCCACTCCCTCCCGCACTCCCTCTCACTCGCTCCCTCGCTCTCAGATGATGCAGAGTGCCAGCAAGTCCCTCAATGGTGTCATATCTGTCCTTTTTATTCATTGCAGGGTTTATTTTTAGCCTGAAACAACTGCTTCCTAAAAATGGAGTTCCTAATGACACGGGAGCCGGACACAGCTATGTAAGGTATCCAGGGCTTGGCCTGACAGCTTCTCCTGTCTGTCTTTGTTGTGAGCCCAGGACAGCAAAGTTTGCTGCTTCCCAACCGCCTTGCAGAGTTTGGACTGAACACTAGGAAGGCAGCAGAAAGAGAAACTCGGTTCAAACTTCCCCTGGAGCCCTCGGCCTCCTTCTCTTTCCAAAGGGAGAAGGAGAGAGACCTTTGCCTGCCCTCCGCTGCACTCCCAGGGCTCCCCCATGAAGGCGACTTGCTGGATTTTGGCAGGTTTTTGCCTGCTTTTCTGCTGCAAGGCAGAAGAGGGACTGAATTTCCCCACCTATGATGGGAAAGACCGAGTGATCGACCTGAACGAGAAGAACTACAAGCAGGCCCTGAAGAAGTACGACATGCTCTGCCTGCTCTTCCACGAGCCCGTGAGCTCCGACAAGGTCTCCCAGAAGCAGTTCCAGATGACGGAGATGGTCCTGGAGGTAAGCGCCGCTGCGTGTCCCCCAAGGGTCAGTGCCACAGCGTGCTCTGAGCTGTGGAGAGGAGCCACGGGACAGGGCAGTCGGAGGGTCTGGGGGGGGTTACACAAAGCTCTGGGTTTGAGTTAGCCCCTGAGCTCTGTGAAGTGCAGGGAAAAGCCTCTGTCGTGCTCTTCTGAGTTGTTTGCTGGGAAACAGACTTTCTGAATCGTGCATCGGAAACCCAGGAAAATCGAGTAACCTTGCAAACCTCAGCAGCATGAACTTAGCCCAGCTGAGCTTTTCCAAATCTCAGCACAGGTCTGGGTACACAGCAAGAAATGTTTAGGTCCCTTCTCCTTCTATGCAAGCTAGAAATCCCCTTGCTTTCTGGATGCATTCCTGTTTCCTATCCCACCGGGATCGATCAGCCAAGAAGCCCTACCAAACTGTGCTGCAAACGGGTGTCCCAGCTCCTCATCTCAAAAGCTCCCCGTTGGTACAGCATTAAATTGCTTTTTGTTTTTCTGACACTCGGTTGCCTGCTTGGAATAAGTCTGTGGCTGCTTGTTAATACAGCCATTCACTTCTGTGCTGGAGAAGGAGAAAAAAAAAAAAGTTGTTAATTCTTTGGTGAAAGAATGATTAATTATCCCCAGTAAAATAAATCACATTAAAAATACAAAATAGATTCATAGCATTCTTTCTTGTAGTGTGGCTGTAATCTAGGGAATTACACAGCAGTAAACTTAGATGGTTAGGTGTTGATTTCCTACCAGGAGCTTAGAAATATTCCCTCAGCTAAAAGGCACACTTGAGAAGAAAGGGAGAACTGCAGAAGAAACACATAAGCATTGTCAGACCCAGAGAAAAAATGCATTGCTCCCCTGTAATTATAGTAAACGTGAATTAGATAATATACCCTCTGAGAGCTAGGACCTGAGAAAGTCCGAGGCAAAGTTCAAGGTCTACTGACCTCCTGAGCAAGCTCCACAGCAAGAAGGATTCAGAAACTAACCAGGTTTTACTCACCTGTCAGGAAACAGTTACTTGCTCCAGGTGAGTGATCAAATAACACTTGGCAAAGAAAAAATAACCCTGGAACTCCAGCTGAAAAGTTCACGGTTGGCAGTATAACCACATTGTTATTTAATAGGATGGCTATTTTGTGCGAGAGGGATGGCAAGCATTTACTAAGTGCATATTTATAGAAACCTGACAGAAGCAGGTATTGACTGTGCACTGCTGGCTGTACTCCCCGTGACACCTATAGCCCAGTTCACAATCGACCATATCAAGGGTGCAATGGCCACAACACAACATAGGTTAAAGCCTTCATTTTGCTGGGTTTGATTCAGCAGCGAATACATTGACTTAGGACTCTGGTGATTTGGTTTCCAATCGCCTCTCTGCCGTTGGCTTCTTATGTGACCTTGGGCAAGAGATAGAGGATTAGATCCGCAGCAGACTTTGTGTAATTGTAGTGCTGCTGTCCACTAATGCTCAGCTACGAGCTAACTGTGGCACAGAACACCCTGCACTTGTGGCTCTGACCTCAAAACTTCCCCAGCACTTGCGGTGCTGATTCAGTGCATGTCTCAAAGTTTCAGTTTCCCCTGGACAGGGAACAGCTGCAGCAATCTCATAGCCTGCTATGCAGAGAAAATCCAGCATAGGACACAGCCCAGCGAGGTGTTGGTGCTCCCAGTTACTGTATTAACTCAGCCATGGCAGCAAGCTGGGTTTTAACCTGTTCCTTCTCTGAGAGCATTCAAACCTAACCTCCCTCACCTCAAACCATAAGTTTTGTGTAGTGGGAATCACTCTCCATCTCCCCTGCCTGCGGTAGGATGCCTTTCTGGAGCATCTCATGTGTTTTCACTTTATTGCATAAGGATTTAATGTCTGACTGACAGCAAGATGTGCTGCTTCTACAGCCTGGAAAACTCTATGTCCTTAGCTTCCCTGCCATAAAATGTCACTGATCTCCATCATTAGGAATAATAGGGACCCTTCATCCAACACACAGCCAGGTGTGGAGCTGGGCAAAGATCTGAGTTAGGTGTCTAAGAGTTGTTACTTCCTATTGCCTGATGCACACAGGTATGTGTATACACAGGAGAGAATGGACTTCATGGACGTTAAGTCCTGAAAACTCCAAAATTGTACAACCTCTCTGTTTCTCCCACATGCACCTTATAAGAAAAGTATAATTCCAAAGACCAAAGGCCTTAAAAAATATATATCTTAATGCCAAAAAAAACAGGAGAGACCCAGTGCCCAGGTCCCTCCACATTTGCTAGGAGAAACTCTCAGATGTGCCCAGGATAGTAGGCGACATGGCACTGTTGTCAAAGCAAGCAGGATTCCCAGCAGTGCCTGCCAGTTCCTTCACTCTAGACCAAGCCACTGGTTTCGGCTTCAGCACATGAAAAAAAAGGACACCCAGGAAGGGATGGGCATAGACAACACCCCTCCAATCCAGGAACAAATTGACCCTTGACCATGAGCATGGTTTCATTAAAACATGTGGCTCGTGGTCAGCAACAAGGCCTGATGGGGGCTTCTTGCATGCATGAGGAGCCCACGGGGTCCTCTGGTAGCTAACAGGACTTGAGCTCACATGGCAGCCTTTCCTTATTTCAGGGCACTGCAGTCTCTTCCCTTCCAAGTCCCCGCTCTTCATGAAGCTTGCAATTATTTAATTACGTCAGAGATCCACACCTCTGGAAAATTTTGGCTGAAAAGAGCCAAGAGCTTAAAAATCATTCAGGAAGGCAAACCAGGAAGGCAGAGAGAAGAGAATCACAAGGGTCTCATTTCCTTAGGGAAACTGGCTGAAAACCTGACAGCACATGAGTTAAGCACATGCTTAAGGACTCAATCACAGCCTTATCTACCAACAGCAGGATGAGGAGAAAGTGATACGGTAGGAAACATTTCCTTCCCATGACAAAAGCCCAGTGTGCAGGACTGACTGACACTGTCAAAAGGTCTGGGTGCACATCAGATATCCCCAGAAAAAGGGATGTCATCGTTACACTGATGTTAGAGCAGGACAGCACACGACATCTTCAGCTCCCTGCACCCAGTCATACTGGGATCCATCACTGGATTCCTGCACAGCCCAGGATGCCTTTCCAGTTTGGAAAGGACAGTGAAGATGAAGACCATCAGCTGGTCTGGCAGCTCCTGCTGAGGTATTGCCTTGTGAGGACAGGGCCTGGGGATAACCAAGTCCCTGTGGGAGCACCACCAGTAGCTTTTTTGGACCATCCTTTGCAAATGGCAGCAGCTCCACAGATGGCAGTGCCAGCCCCTCAGGCCCAGGTGGGAAGGCTGGGGCTGTTGGGTTAGTCCATCAGGAAAACAGTCAAAGCAATGGCCGGAGATGCAGCTGCCTACTGCTGAGTAGCCAGGGTAGAAAAAATGTTGGGAAGGGATTGTAATACACCAGCAATCTAGGGCAGAGATGCATGAGCATGGCTGTTTCACAGCTCAAGGTAAGGGGCTCTTATCCTCCTTTGCCTTCCTTTCTCCTGCCCCACTCCCTGTCCCACTCAGGACAATGCCAGAGGTTGGACCAGGCAGTCCTGAAGCTAGCAGTAGCTGTTCCTACTCTGTGGCAATGTTTCTAAGAGTCCTGCATGCCTGTGAGGTCAGCACAGTGAAGAAGCAGATGACACACAGCCAGACACAGAGTTTCATAATTAAGATATAACAGACAATTAAGAAACAAACAAAAATACTAATTGTCCTAAAACCTCTCAGTTTTAATAGATGGCAAAAGAAGACAAGAACAAAGGAGTGAAGCTTAGAAATACCCGTTCTGCTATTATTCTTCTCTGTAGCTCTCCTACCATAATTCCTCCTGCCCCATACCACCACTTCTCAGACCTTCTCCCCTCTCCCTTTCATTTCTGAACCCTCCCTATATATTAGCATAGCTTTACTTTCCAGTGGGCCAGCCTCAGCCTCTAGGAGTCATGTAACGAGAATAATGAACACCACAGTTAGGGGCTTTCCTTTTGCACATGAGAAGCTCTCTCCAATAACTGAGGTCGTCTTAGGGCATAGCAGCCTGCATGCAATGCAGGATGCCATCCTCATTACACTCTCCTCCACTGAAACTTGCTCAGTCCTTGCTCCTCTGGCTCATTCCTCACCTGTCATGTGTGCATATACACATTTAGGCCCCTCAATTGAATCAGTGTCCCTGAGCTGAAATGCCATGGGGAATTGCCCTAGCACAAATCAGTCTGCTCAGGAGGTAGGACAAGAGGGATGTGGTGTTTCCCCATCCAGATCAGCTCTAGCAGCTGCCTGACCTCTGGCAATAAATGGCAGAACAAAGTGAAACCCCATAATGTATTTGGCCAATTCTGTAACACAAAAAAATATCCCCCTGTGAACCTGGTGATATGAGTCCATGAGGTTGCATCGCATCCCTCTCCCAGTGCCCAAAAAGAGTCAGTAGCTACTTGTGTTGTGAGAGGGACAGATAGATTTTGAATTCAATAAAAGACCAGGGTTAGAGTGGGTATGAGGTCTAATTCACTGAAATTCAATTTCTTTGAAAATGCTCATGAGACATGCTATGTTCATGAGACAATCAATGCCTAACTACAGTTTTCTGGGCTGGACAGACACTTTACACAGGACATGCTCATTGAGTGCCACAGAGTGCCCGCGTCCCTACAGAGCAAGTCCTCAGGGTGAGGAACGAGGCACACCTGGGTGGAGAAGTACATGCAGGAGCCTACAGCACGAGTACCTTGTACATACCTGTAATAAAAGAGGTGCTTTGGTTTCCATAGCTACTAAAGCACTGGTTTCCACTGCAGATAATCTAATGCAAAAAATAAGGGAGGAAGAGAGAGAAAAGGAAAAAGTGTTCACTGATTACTTTGCCCTTTGAGACTATATAAGTAGGTCTCGGTTCATCAGCCGAGAAAGGGAGCTGATTTTTAGCAGCAGCACTAGGAGGATTTCACTCACTGACACGCCAGTCACAAAAGCGAGTT